GTTGCTGCTATTCTTGTACATGAGTGACACTTTCTTGTTTTTCTTGCATGACAGATATTTTTGCTGAAAACTAGACACTTTAGGAGGAATATTTCATCAGCACTTGATTTTGATTCATCTTTGCCTCTGAGGCATGTTGTTGCTGGGTTTTGCTTGTCTAATGAGTTCCTGGACTACTTCTGCGCAATGCTTTTCACCTATGGGATGCAGCCTTCTGATGTCACTGCTCCAGTTTCGTTTTTCTTGTTTTTAATTTTAAGCTTGGTTTTCTATGAGTTGTTTCCAGGACAGCATAGCATAGTGATAACCTAGTAATTGATCAGAGAATGTTTTTAAACCCCTTCAGGCAGTAAATCTTTTACCTGTAGGTGTTGGATCTATGTATTATTTTGAACATGCTTTCAAAGTTTAGGAGGTTTACAGATCTGCCCCTCACTTCATTCAGGGACTATTGCTTTCTCTGGTTTCATTTGAGAAGTGCAGCTTTGCACATGCATACAGCCTTTCTGATTATCAAGCATAAATATGATCTTAGCAGCATCCTCTCTGGGTGTTTCTTTATCTAGTCTGTCTGTTAAATTTCTGGCCACTTTGTTGCTTGATGTGGCTCTACTAGTATCACAGAAATCTTAGCTTTCACTGATTTTCTGCAACTGGGATCATTCATATTCTGCTCCATGTAAAATCAGCTTTCCTCAGGCAGAGCTGAAGAGTTGCAACTTATGACTTGCCATGACTTGTTTAGAACAACCAAAATAAGGTGCTGCAGGGTATGACAGCTGTTGGATCTATCCATTTCCTCTACTTGCTCACAATTAAACGTATGCAACAAGAGTCTGGAAAGAGTAACAGTTATTAGTCTTTAAGGTCTGGTTTGCTTCACCCAGTATTTCAAAGTCATATGTGAGAAGAGGAAGGTGGAAACAGACTCCAACTTAAATACCATAGGCTTCCACTGTTCTTATTGGGAATTGTTTTTTTCTTTAATAAGTGCTCTCAATGTATTATATGCCTTTTTAAAATCAATTTTCAGACTTAAAATGATTGGTTTTTTATATTTTTTCCAATTTTATTGCTGACTTGTTGGAGAAAGGATTTGATGAGCTTCTTACTCAGGAATTCTGGGAAGTCCATTCTTATTCATTTATATTTTTATTTCCATATTTATTTGCATGTTTGTTTAACAAAAAGTAATTATGAACCTACTATGTGCAACAATGCAGTTCTAGTCAATGAGGATTGCACAAGTGAAAAGATAGGCACAGACCACATCCCTTATAAAACTTACAATATAGTAGGGTAGTTTGTTATGTGGGATCTATGATTAGAATGCATGGAAGTTTTATCTTGCGTGCCTAGCTTATATTAACTGGTGAGAAGTCCACCGTGCTGAAATATCAAGTTCAATTTGTTCTCAGAGGAAAATAATGCAATAATCAATTATTAGTGGCTGTCATGGGTATAAGAGGGACCATCGAAGATGATGTGTTATGCTTTCGCCACACCTGATATATAAAATCTTGAGATCCACTTTGATGCTGTACACTGTGAAGATCACAGAAATTCTGAGCAACATTCATGACACCAAGATCAGCTGGTTTCCCAGATTATATCTTTAAAATATTGAACAGCCAATTCTGCTCACTTCAGAATATAGCCCAAGAGATTTTTGAATACAGACCCCTGACCTAAATTGCAGTGAGAAGGGAAAGCCACTAGAAGGCCACTTTTATAAGCTGTTTTCTTTCATCTTTTCTGGTATTCCCCCTCCCAGTTATTTTGGCGTGTACGTGTTATATGATAAGAATGGTAAGGCCAAAGTGGAAGAAAACTGTAAATTATGCATTTGAGATAAGACTTAGTAGAGAATATTAATTCTATGTTACCAGAAAATGGAATAAGGCTAAGAAAATATCCTGAGTCTGTAGGCTAAATTGTTCTCTTTAATTGCGGTGTTATTCCAGTTATGCTATGCAAATAAAGGAAAATGTCAGAGTTTCAGGACAGGTAGCATATATGTTTGTTACCGTTTTTATCATGGCTGCTAAGTTTCTTCATGATCTAATTACCCCTCCAAACTTATGTCTTTCCCCTCACTTTTCCATTAAAAATTGACACTCCCCAATTAGTGTTATGCTTCTACTCCATCCACAATGCTCCTGATGTGGCTTCTCAATACCATGGCTTATAGTGTTCCTACTGCCTGAACCATTGTGCCCATTACTCAACTCCCTCCAAGTGGGTAATTTTTATGCCTTCTTCAGGATCCAGATCAGGTGCTCCCTTCTTCAGAAAGTCTTATTTTGCAATGCATTTGCTTTCTTCTATTGAAACTTTTGGTTATATTTCTTTTACTAATCTGGCAGCTCCCTGGGAGCAAGTAATGTGTTTTATTCATCACTCTAACCCCAGGGCACATAGATTGGTCTGCAATAAGTGCATATAGACTGGTCCATTAATATATTCATTAAATATAGCTATTAATAAATAATACATTTATTCTCACTATAGAGTGCCAATGGAGCAAAGTACAAGAAGGTGGTATGGCTTACTAAACACCAAGCAAGGAGGAAGAACAAGGAGAGAGTGAAGAATAATAGGATTTGTAGTCAAACAGACCTAGGTTTAAATGCTTATCCATTCATTTTATAGCTGAGTGACACTTCTAATCTCTTATTTCCTCCTCTATGTAGTGAACTAGCTCACTTCCTCTGAGATCAGGGAGCCTAGGTTCAATTCCCAGTTCCAATACAACCTTAGCTATGTGATTTTGAAAGTGTATCTGAACTTCTTTGTGCCTGAATTCTTTTTCTGTTAAATGAGGATAATAATAGTTTCTCCTTTATATAGGACTGTTGCATAACATTAGATGAGGCATGTAAAACTCAGAACATTTCCTGGAATAGATAAAGCAAGGAAAATATATAGAGCTAATATTACTAGGTAAAATAAAGCTATTAATATTAACTACATTAATGTAAACATAAACATATACATGTGCAAACAATGACATTGTTATCAATATTCTTAATGCTTTAAAGCAATTTACACACACTATTACATTAAATCCTTTGTATCATCCTGGAAAATATATACAGCATTTTCAGCCATAAAAAAAGCTTAAAAATTAAATATCTAGTTTAATGTACTCATCTTGTAAGTATGAGACAAACATAAGACACTTATACATGCTTGACAAACTGAGAAGGGTATTACTAAGTAGGAAAAACCCCTTATTTGGCATCTAAAAATTCTACATTTTTGACAAAATGTCCTTCAAGCCAGGTAAGGTTTTAGCTTCAGTGAAGATAAAAGAAAAACAGGACTGAATATTATCAACCCATGCATGTAGTAAAAATTATATTAGCTTTGAAATCAGATAGAATACAGTTGAATTCCATTCCTGATTCTCATGCTCAAGGCACTTTTTAAGCCATTCGTTTTCTCATCTTTTTTTTTTTCAGGGTCTCACTCTGTCATCCAGGCTGAAGTACAGTGGCATGATCATGGCTCACCTCATTGTCGACCACCCAGGTTCAGGAGATCCTCCCATCTCAACCTTTTGAGTAGCTGAAACTACAGGTGTTCGTCACCATATGGAGCTAATTTTTAAAAGAATTTTGTAGAGACAAGGTCTCTCTATATTGCACAGGCTGAAAAAAGCAATTTTCCTCATCTTTTACACAATGATAGCTGCACCTACTATGAACACTTTTGGGAAAACTTAAATGTCATGATGTATAGCATTTCTAACTTGTAGTATCTGGCATATATTAGATACTTGACAAATTGCAACCAACATCCATCATGGATCTTGTATCAATAACACCTGAAACATCACTTAGCTTGTGATGGGCACACTTTTACGTGTTTAGGGTTAAATTAAAGGGAAAAGTTGCAAACTGTGAAAAATTTCAAGCTGAGAATAATGTCCCCCCAAAACTGTAACCACTAACTTTCTCCTTGGGTTCTCTCCTATAGAATCAAGTATTTCCCTATCCTCAGAACCTGAGTAACTGGGTGATGGAAACTTAGGGCAATGCAGGCAGAAACTTATTTGAAAGACATAAAAAATTAGAGGTAAGTGACCAACTTTAAAGAACAGAGTAAGAATGGGAAAATGAAGGATATAAACTGTTTGGTACTCTTTCCCCCATTCTTTATAAACCTTAAGTTAATTAATTTACAGGCACTATTTCATTTAATCATGAGTGCAACACTCCAAAGCATAGGTTACTTTGACTCCCTGGGTAAAGAAATGGGTTCAGAATGATTGTCTTGCTCCAGGATGCCCAAGTAGAAAGTGACAGAGCCAAAGATAAGAACTCAAATACAGAGGGCTCCAAATTCCAAGTTTAATTGGACCACAGGTTTCTTGAGTGGGGATGTGTATTTGATGAAGACACTTCTATTTTCATCTCATAGAGTAGTATGGTTCCCTGGAAAAGAACCTATAGAAACCATAGAAAAGGAACTTGTATGTGTCTAGAACACTTTATACCTCACATGACCACAGTGCCTCCATAACTCCTAAAACAGCTAAAGAAAATTAGTTTGGTTAACAATAGAATGAATCACTCAGAAAGGATGATAGCTAAGGCAAGTGAATAGTCCCTTAAAGAAATATCTACTGGGAAGACCCAGATCCTCGGAAAAAAGGTTAACTTGACTTTAATATGTATCAGAGCAGCCACAGCAGTCTTTGGATTTAATAAGATCACACTGTGTGATTTAAAACAAATCACTACACTGAAGCTTAGTTCTGTAAAATGTGAATAATGATACACACTTACAGGGTTCTTGTGGCAAGACAAGATATTGGGAAAGTATCTTCCACATAGGACATTAACAACTGTTTGCTTTTCATTTGTCAATAACAGAATTTTTACCTGCATGCTTGAAACGTGTTCAACAACCAACAAAATTATGCTTTTCTTGGAAACATCTCTATTTCTTTAAGATCTTTAAGATTACAGGATGCAAGAAGTACAATTAAGTACCTGTGTAAGCGAAGTTGAAAGGCCTTGTTAGAGGAACATGATGCTTGGGCGCCACTGTGGGATGCGAGGGATATAAAAACACACCATCATTGCCTAGCATTTCCACCAGCTCTTTATGCAGGCATTCTTCCACTGCTTTAAACTTTTTGTATTTTTCATTGTTATATTTGAGCTTTTCTTCCAACAAAGCCAGCCCTATACAATGATATATCAAGTTAAGGTTAAAATATCCATTTTAAATCCTAGCGTTATTTATCTTTATTTATTCAAATAAGTGTTCATTATAGAACATTTAAAAAGTAAGAAAGTGATGAAAAAGAAAACCTTAAAACTTTACCATATATTGTTGATAATTTACTGTTAACTCCTTCTAGATTTTTTAAATCAATGCTGTATATAAAGTTTCTAGCCTCTCCCATAGCATATTATATCATGATGATTTTTCACATCATTAAAAACACATTATAGGCATATTTTATATTATGACTGCATAATGTTATAAGAGTAGAAATGTACCACAATTATTTTCTTTAACTAGTCCATGATTTGGGGATATGTAGAATGTTTTCAAATTTTAAATACTGTAATAAATATCTTCAGGGAAAAAACATTTAGCAAAACTTTATAATAAAATTATACTATATTTTTAGAAGCTTCTATTAAATATATCTCCATGTTTTTAATTATTTTATTTGAAAGATCATAAACATATACATATGTATTCTTACTTTGCACATTAGTTAAGTACACATTATATGCACTTAATAAATCTTAGAATATTTAGTATTTAATATTATTTATTTATTAAAAATAAAGTTTACTTATTTTAAACATGAAGTTTATTTTCCCCATTTTTAAAGGAGCACATAAATCACATAGAACATAAGACAAATTTCTTTTTTTAGAAATTATTATATTTTATCTATTCATTTATTTTTTATTCTTGTATTTATTTATTTATTTATCTTTAATTTTAAAGATGTGGAGTACAATTCAGGGTTAGGCATACAAATGATCATTGAACAGGTAAAGTTTGGGCCTCACTTTGGTCCCCACATCATCTGGTTTGAGATCAGATACACTTAATGATGAAGTGTGACCCCCCCTTCCCCCCCCACCACTCCCTCTCCTGGCAGTTTCCGACTATGGTGTTAAAATACAATTAAAAATTCACACAGAAATACAATGGGCAAGAGAAATCATTGTAAGCATGCTATTACACTTAGTTAATGTACCTATACAAATATTTTATGACATAGAGCTGATTTCATATGCTAAACTTTCTACTTTTTCCACTTATTGTAACATACACAAATTTCTATATCATTAATACAGCTTCATAAACTTGGCTTTAATTACTACATACAATTTCACCCTTTATATAATCTACCACTTATTTCCCTATTGTTATACATTTCAGATGTTTCTAATATTTTGTTATTGTAAATCTTGCTACAGTGCACATCTTGATGTATATAATTATAGTGATAGTTTGATAGTTTAGGATATTCTTATCTGGAGAGTCTGGCTCTTGGCCAAAAACCATACATATATTTTTCAGGCCCAACTATAGGCAATTAAAACAGCTTTACCTGGTAGGCCTCACAGGGTAAAGCTGCCTTCCCCAAACCACACATGATAGACAGTCAATGTATTACTGTTTTTTTAATGGTGAAACAGTCAAGATTCAGGTTCTTCTGGCCAGTCATGTTCTTATGCATATTGCATTCCTAGCTCAGGCAGCTTCATTCCTAGTTAACTTTATCTGAAGATTTTGGTAGAGACCTTCTCCAGGCATCTCTGCTAAGGCTTTTTTGTGGGGGGAAATCTTAAAGACATTTTCCCTTACTCCAACTCAATGGTCAAGACTTTTCTACTCCTAATCACTCTCCCTCACACTACCCCAGCCCTGGAGCCCATGAAAATATTGAAATCTTTTACTTAGGGTTTCTTCAACAGTAAGAAGATGCTCATGTTGATGATAATCTATCTGGAGCAATGTTTCATGAAGGAAATAAAACAGGGGCAGTCAAGTTTTTCATCCAGTTTTATCCTCTTTCCTGTACTACCATAGTAAGTGACTGAAGACTACACTGTCGCTTCTATTTTGGCTTGCTGCTTTCACTGGCCATTTCGACATATAATATTTCAGCTCTCTCTCCAGCTCAGATGAAGCCCTGATATTATTTGAGATGATAAAATATGATTTAAATTGTCTGGATTGGGCTAGAGTCAGACAACCCAGGCACTGTTTTAAGACTTGATGTTCATATATTACCTTTCTTGAATTTTCATGGCTGAACACAAGAAATAGAATATTAGTGACTAGATTATCACAAAAATTCTTTCAAAGAAAAGTAGCTGACAAATATTTGGAAATGAGTGCTTTGATTGCATATTGTCCTTAAAATTATTTTCCTGATGCTCTCAGGGTACAATAGCCATTGAAAGTATAATAGAACACTTTCTGATATTAAATACCTCATTAGTAAAGCTATGTGATAATGATAACAATAATAAACACAGCTGAAAGACTTCATGTGTCTTTACTGTGTTCAAAGATCTGTGTTTCTATCTTAATTGATAAATGGGAAATTCCCAGCACATGAATGGTGGGGCTGTATCTCCAATGTTTTAGATGCATAACCTCATTTAACTGGAGAAATTCAAGAAAATACATATTATTTAATTCACCCAACCATATAATAGTGCATACTTGTATTAATCCCATTTTGTAGATGACAAAAAAATAACCACTGACAATATAAGCAACTGGGTGGAGGTACAGTATGCTAGAAGCTGGAAAAGTTAGGATTAGACTCCAGTTTTGAGTCAACTAATTTATGTTAGCCTCAATTTATCACTATAAAAGAATAATAATACCTATACTATTAGACTATCTTTGATGCTTAAAGGAACAGAACATGCAAGAAGATGTCAAATGTCTAACACCTAGCACTTAGGGACTGGATAAGAATTTCTTTTTACAATAAAAGCAATTAGTTCAGCAGCAAGTGTCCAAAACCACAATCATTTGATTTGTAAGCTGCTTAAATTAAATTTACTCTACATGAGCAATAATTTACATTTTGATAGGTTAACTCATAAACATGTCTTTTAATGGACCTATCCCTAAATTTAAAAATGTTATTTAAAATTTACAGTCAGATACTAAGAAATAATATAGGGCACACAGAAAACATCAGAGGCTTTTGAGTTTGTAGGACCAGTGCTTGAAGAGTGCTTCCTAACTTGGTCACAATGCAATCTCGCTTAATTGAGAGATGAGGGGACATGTAACAAAACAAAGGGTACCTGATCCTAAACCATGGGAAGTGAGGACGAGTGGGAGGCCCAAACTTCACATGCACGTAGACTACTTAAGTAGCTAATCCTGACTTGTTCCTCACATCTCTATAATAAAATAAAGTTATAAAAAATACTTTTTTTAGAATGTTATTTTCTCTCCCAAACATATTAAACCAGTCTAGGAGAGATAATTTACATACCAATGGAGGGGATGGTGTATACTGACAGACCCAGACACCATTTAACCAATTCCCACAGAGGACTGATAGGCTTCCCGTGGTCACCAAGCAGATCCACAAATTTTACAGGTTCCTGAGTTTGAAAACAAGAAAAAAAGTATGGCTAAGACAAAACCTGTACAAAAATTTTCATAGCAGCATTATTCCTAACAGCCAAATATTAACCAGTTGATGAGTGGATGAATCCAATGTATTGATATGATACAATATTATTCATCCACATGAAAAACAAACTACTGATATATGTTACAACATGAATAAGACTTAAAATAGTATGCTAAGAAAAATAAGCCAGTAACAAAACACCATACTACATATAATTTTATTTGCATGCAATATACAGAATAAGCAAATCTATAGAGACAGGAAATAGATTAGTGGTGACTTATGGTTGAGGAGAAATGCAGAGATTGGAGAGTGAATTATAATGAGTATAGGTTTGGGGGTTAATAAATATTCTAAAATTATGGTGAGTGATTGCACAACTGTGAATATGCTAAAAAAATTGGATTGTATACTTTAAATTGACAAACTGCATGGTATGAGAATTATAACTCAATAAACCTGTTATAAGGAAGTAGAGGCAAAGAAGGATGGCTGAAGAGAATGTTTCAGCAATCATCCTTTTGCAGAAACAACAAATTATACAACTATCTATGCAATAAAACACCTTCACAAGAATCAAAAATTTATGTGTGATCACAATACCAAGTTTTAACATAATATCAATAAAAACACTGAACAAGGTAGAAAGACAGTATTGTATTGCCTACAAAACCTCTCTCCAATCCTTTGTCAGTGTCTTATGGAGAAAGAATCTGTGCTTGCAGGAGGGAGACCAAAGTGAATGTGGTACTTTGTGCTGCAACTCAGTCTTGTTCATATTGAAACATCACACATGGCAGAATTCTGCTGGTGTCCCAGGAGGGAGCATTTAGACCAGCCTTGACCTATAGGTAAATTGTCAAAAAGTGAAAGGAACTCCAGTCCTGGGAGACTCCAACACCAGCTGACTAAAGTGATCTGAGGCCTGATAAATTTAAGTGTCCGTCAAGCAATAACAACAACAGTCTTTAGGCAAACTGTGAAGCCACATTGGTCTCAGAGACAGTTGACTTAGAATGCATGAAAACTAGTGTGACACCAGCTATGGAAACCAAGAGTTCCTGCATCTCCCTTTTTCTAACCCCAGGTAGTACAGCTCAAGGAAAGACTTCTTGTGTTGGGGAAAGAAGAGAGGGGAATACAGAGAATTTAGTCTTGTAATAGTCTTGTACCAGCAAAGCCATAGAAAAATAAAACACCAGGAAGATTCCTAAGGACCCTGATAACAGGTCTTAGCTTCTGGATGGTGTTTCCAGATCATCCTGACCAGAAGAGAGCTCACTGTCCTGAAGGAAAAAAAGACAAAACAAAAAACAATCCCAGCAGAATTCACCATCTGCTACTAAAAAGCCTTGGGATTTGACTAAGCATTAGCAGTAACCAGAAAGTAGTTGCTACGGGCCTTGGATGAAACTTAGTACTATGTTAGCTTAAGGAATGATACAGCACCACGCAAACTGTGGTGGCAATGGGAGTATTTGCACCCCCCCTCCCCCAATTCTAAGCAAGCAAGTATTGAGAAAAATTCCTTGATATTGAAAAAAAGAGAGAAAAGGTGAATTTTCCTGGCAACCCCAGGAAATTCTCTTTACTCTTACCCAAGCCAAATAAAGTGGCACCTGTAGGAGTTGGCAAGACTCACCGTATTCATGGGCTTAGGGTACCACCTAGTGCCAATAAGGCTGCAGTGGCCACAGGCTTAGATCACAGCACTCAACTTTTTTGAATAGTCGGGAAGCTTCCCCCTACACACACCCAAATCATCATCATCATCATCATCATCATCATCATCATCATCATCACACATAAGCCCAGAGTGTGAATAGTGAAATAAAGACTTAACTCTTCAATGTCCAAACATCAACAAATTTTCACAAGCATCAAGAACATCCCAGAAAATATGACTTCACTAGATTAACTAAATAAGGCACCAGTGATCAATTTTGGAGTGACAAAGATATGTGTTTTCAGATGATTAACTCAAAATAGTTGTTTTAAAGAAGCACAATAAACTTCAAGATAACAGAGAAAGAGTTCAGAATTCTATCCGAGAAATTTTTCAAAAAGATTGAAATAATTTTAAAATAGCAAAAATCTAAAGATGCAAAAATTAATTGACAATTGAAATATGTATGAGATTCTCCCAATAGCATAATTTATCAAGCAGAAGTAAAAATCAGTGAGCTTTAAAATAAACTACATGAAAAAAATATATATATATATACAGTGAAATACTATTCAGTCGTAAAAAAAAATGTCTTTTGCAGCAAGCTGAATGGAGTTGGAGGCCATCATCTTAAGTAAAATCACCTAGAAACAGAAAGTCACATACTGTATGTTCTCACTTGTAATATGGAGATAAATAATGTGCACATATGGACATAGTGTATAAAATAATAGATACTGGAGACTCAAAAGAGTGGTAGTGTGGGGGACTGAGCGATGACAGATTACTTAATGAGTACAATGCATGTTATTTTTGTAATGGTTACACGTTATTTTTGTGATAGTTACACTTCACTATGCAATATATTCATGTAACAAAACTGCACTTATACCACTTACATTTATGCAGATATATAAAAAAGAAAAGAGTTATTGTCTTTAAAGAGGATGTAGCGAGATTAGGGTTGAAATTTTATTTAAAAAATAACATGGAACTTTCCAAACCTAGAAAAAAAGATAAAAATATCCAGGTACAAGAAGGTAATAGAACGCTGAGCAGATTAAACCCAAATAATACTTTCTCAAGACATATATTAATCAAACTCTCAAAAGTCAAGAATAAAGAAAAAAGTATAAAAGCAACAAAAGAAAAGTAACAAATAATATATAAAGAAGCTCGATACATCTAGCAACAGAATCCTCATTGAACTCTTACTCCAAGAAAAAGTGCAAAGACATATTAAAACAGCAACAACAACAACTATTCGGGACATGGATGAAAAAATTATCTGAATATATAGATATCTTAAGTAAAAATTAGTAAAAAAAAAAAAAAGCAGTATGTGACTTTCTGTTTCTAGGTGATTTTACTTAAGATGATGGCCTCCAGCTTCATTCAGCTTGCTGCAAAGACATTTTTTTTTTTACAGCTGAATAGTATTTCACTGTATATATATATTTTTTTCATGTAGTTCATTTTAAAGCTCACTGATTTTTACTTCTGCTTGATAAATTATGCTATTGGGAGAATCTCATACATATTTCAATTGTCAATTAATTTTTGCATCTTTAGATTTTTGCTATTTTAAAATTATTTTAATATATAGATACCTTAGTAAAAAATAAAATAAGATTCCAAGTTAGAAATTTATATCCAGGATAATATCACTCAAACCTGAAGGTGAAATGAAAAAGAATCCCAGACAAACAAAAACTGAGGGATTTGTCAACACCTGAGCAGTCTTGCAAGAAATGATAGAGGGAGCTCTACAATTCAAACAAAAAGACCATTCATAAACAAAAAGAAATGATCTGAAAGTATAAAAGCCATTGGTAATAGTGAGTATACAGACAAATATAGAATAAACTCATACTTTAATTGCAGTGTATAAACCATGCACATCTTAATAGGAAGATTAGAAGCCAAATTTGTCAAAAGTAATAACTGCCACATTTTTTATTTGTATACATTTAAGGGGCACAAGGGTAATTTTATTACATAGACTGCATAATGAACGTAGCCAGACCATTTAGGATATCTATCATCTGAATAAATCATATTGCACCCATTAAGTAATTTTTTCTTTTTTTTTGAGTTCAAGTCTCACTCTGTCACCCAGACTGGAGTGCAGTGGCCGCTCCCGGCCACCGCAGCCTCGACCTGCTGGGCTCCGGCGATCCTTCCACCTCAGCCTTCCGAGTAGCCAGAATTACAGGCATGCGCTACCACACCCAGCTGATTTTTGATTTATTGTAGAGATGAGGTCTCACTGCCCAGGCAGGTCTCGATCCCGCGGGCTCAGGCAATCCACTCACCTCAGCCTCCCAAAGGCGCGGGATTACAGGCTGAGCCACCAAGCCTGGTTTTAAGTAATTTTTAATCATCCACCTCCTCACCCTTTTTTAATTTGCATTGACTACAATTCTACATACTACATCCATGTGTACAAATTATTTAGCTCCCACTTAGAGAACACAGCATTTGGTGTTTGTCTTTCTGTCTCTGACAGTTTTACTTAAGATCATGAAATCTCGTTCCATCTATGTTGGTACAAATGATAGGATCTCATTCTTTCTTTTGGCCAAATATTATTCTGTTGCGCACCCCCCCCCCACACACACACACTCACACACACACATATATATATATATGTAATGCAATCATCTATTGATGGACACTTAGGTTGATTTCATGTTTTTCTCTTGTAAAAAATGCTTGGGTGAATATACATGTGCAGGTATCTCTAATGGTATTTTTTTCCTTTTGGGTAAATACCCAGCAGCAAAATTGCTGAATTGAATGATACATCATTTTTTTATTTTCGATATATCTCCACATTGTTTTCCATAAAGGTTGTGCTAATTTATACTATTGCCAAAAGTTTATACAAGTTCTCTTTTCTCCATACCACCACCAACATCGTTTTTTTGTTTTTTTTGTCTTTTTAATTGTAGCCATTCTGACTGATGTAAGACAGAATGACTTTGTGGTATTAATTTGCATTTCTCTAATAATTCATGATACTGAGCTGAACGTGTTGATCATTTGTATGTATTTTTTTGAATAATGTCTTCTCATATCCTTTGAGGCCAAGGTGGGAGACAGGTGGGATGTGTTGCCATAGTAAACTCTCACTCCCCATAGAACTCTTCTGGACCTGCTCTGCACACATGAACTAACCCAGTGACCTGGGACACCCTTCTAATCACCACTGGGGTAGCTAAAAGTGCATGACTTGTGGGTTGCTTCATCTTCTTTCTTCTGCAATAACTCAGAAGTTTCAAAACAGGCAGAAAACTTGG